ATTGCCGGTTGTTTACCTGCTTTGTTTCCCGTGAACTGTTTTCGTTATGGAGTTACGTCAGGTTTCCACAGCGTGCGTTGGCATGAGCGTGTCCGGAACAATCATCGACACACACACACACAGACATTCACACATTGTACATACACACCCACCCACACATATGTATGTATGCATGTGTGTGTGTGTATGTATACGATATATATATATACATACATACACACACACACACACACACACACACACACACACAACACACACACACACACACACACACACACACACACACACACACACACTAACACACTAACACTAACACACTACACACACACAACACACACACACACACACACACACACACACACACACACACACACATATATATATATATAATATATATATATATATATATATATATATATATATATACACACAACACACACACACACACACACACACACACACACACACACACACACACACACACACACACACACACACACACACACACACACACACAGAGAGAGAGAGAGAGAGAGAGAGAATATAGATATGTGTGTGTGTGCATACGAGGATATGTATGTATATAATAATGATAATAGTTATAATGATAAAGTTGGTAATCATGATAATGATGATAATAATAATAAATTCCTTCCCTTTCCAGTCCGTGCGCGTGGATAGCGATGGCAGCAGCGCACACATTCGCGTGCGTGGCAGCGGCTCTGGTGGCGGCGGCCATGCAGCGGTACGGGGAGGCAGCTGTGAGTGCTCGTCCTGCACAAGGGACACGTGTTTGCTGAATTATTTATCATTATGGAAGAAGAGTTTTGTTGTTTGTTGTATTATTATTTTTGTTAACCCTACCATCACTAACGTTCTTATTACTGCTGCTATTATTTTTTGTTGATATTAGGATTCTTACCATTTCTGACATTTTCATTGTTATTAATTTTGTCCCGGAGTAGTCTCAATATTATTTCATTATTATCATAAACCGTTATCTTTATTGCCATTGTTATTATTATTATTGTTGTTATTATTATTATTATTATTATTATTATTATTATTATTATTATTATTATTATTATTATCATAATCATTATCTTTATTATCATTATTGTTAGTATTATTATTATTGTTATTATTATTATTATTATTATTATTATTATTATTATTATTATTGTTATTATTATTATTATTATTATTATTATTATTATTATTATTATTATCATTATCATTATCATTATCATTACCTTTGTTATTATTACTTATTATTACTATTACCATTATCAGTATCACTATTATTACCTTTATCATTATCATTATCATTATTAGTAAGATGGTTAGCAAGATAACAGAAACGAAAATTTTTTAGATTTTTTTTTAATTTTTGTATTTCTATTTATTTATTTATCTGTTTATTTATTTATTTATTTATTTACCAGAGGTGAGATTGAGCCCAACTTGGGTGCCATTGAATTTCGGAGGCGGTCGGGGTCATCGTGATCCATAGCCAGGCTTTTTTTTCAAGGATTCATTAGTATTGCGAGATACGGAAGCACGGGCGTCAGCTGTGTGCTTGAGAAAGAGGGGATTTTAATGTAATTCTTCGTGTGAATGTTTTTGTTGCCTCAGTGACGCTGTTGAAGTGGAGAGCTTTTAGGTATTATTATCATTATTATTCATATTATTCATATTATAACCATTGTTATTATTGTTATTATTGTACTTTTATCGGTATTATCATTAATATCATTATTATTGCGATGACCGTAAAGATAACAATAGTAATAATGATAATGATTATGATGATAATAAGGATAACAATAATGATGATATCAATAATGATGATAATAATAATAATATCAGTAATGATAATAAAAAAATAATTTTTAATATTATTATTATCATTATCATTATTACTATTATTATTATCATTACTATCATTATTATTATTGCTATCGTTATTGTAATTATTATCATTATTATTATTATTGTAACAATTATCATCATTATTGTTATTATCTTTATCATTACTGTCGTTATCATCATTATTATTATTATCATTATCATTATTACCATTATTATCATTATAATTATGATAATTATCATTATTATCATTATCATCATTCTTGCTGTCATTATTATTATTATGATTGCTATTGTTTTTATCTTTTATTATTATTGTTATTATCATTATTACTATTATCATCATTATCATTATTGTTATTACTAGTATTATTATTACTACTTTCATTATTTTTATCATTATTTCTTATATTTTATTAATATTATCATTATTATTGCTATTGTTATTATTGATGTTATTGTCTTCAATATGATAATAATTATAGCCATTGTTATTATTATTACTATAATGATAATTATTATTATTATTATCATTACTATGATAGTTTATTATTGCTGTTATTATTATTATTACCATTATTATTATTATCATTATTATTATTATTGTTATTATTAT